AACAATTTCTTCTCTCGAGATATGTTGCACTCGGCTCAGAGTTGTAATCCTTTCAAGCTTTGTTGCTGTTGTTGCATTACAACTACTATTTTAACAATTGTTTTTTTGTTGGTAGCTTGCTGCAAATCAGATCAGCGGTTGTGGAAACACATAAGTTCTGCATCGTCTGCTGTTTATATTTTGATCATAACACATAAATGCAGAGGAGGAGATCGGTCCTGCAGAAAGGTTAGATACTAATCCCTCTGCTTTCTGCTTGCAGCAACAGATGTTATCTACGAGAATTTGTTTATGCTACCTGTTAGTTTGGCAAATCCCACGTAGTCTCATATCGGAAAATTCACGTATGTTATCTCTTATTGTAACGATAAATAAGGGCCTGCGTTTTGAAGCTAGATGCATCACAAGAAAGGGTTTAATTTCTATTAAGTCCATACATAGTTAAAATAGTTTAGGCTTATAGTTTGGACTTTTCTTATTTAGTAGTTTCAGGTATTTTATGGTGTAGAAATATTTTTCTAAGATATTTATAATTATCCCTTTTATAGTAGAGTTTTGCTCCTCCTCCATCCGTGGACGTAGGTCAATTGATCGAACCACGTAAATCTGGTGTCGTTGTCTCTTTTATTTTTCTGTTTTATTATCTTTTTTGGGTTGTCAAATTACCCTTTGGTAAATTTTCTAGTCTAACTCTAATACTACCTGGAAAAGAAAATGAAGTTAATAAGCTAATGCACTAACAAAATTATCACGGCCGATGTGCACACAAAGATAATTGTAAGAGCTTGGACAGATACCAATAAATGATTCAAAGGTAAAGAATGGTTCAATAATCAATTAAGCACACACAACAGAGCATTGTGCGGTTTTACTTAATTCATTTTGATATTTAATTCTTTTGCTGTACTTTTTAAGTGAATTATGTTAGTTTTACAAAATGCAAATTGAACCTACAAAATAATATGTGGTTGTTTATGTGATAATTATCATGTCAATCACGGTTTAACCCAACATTAAAGGAAAGTGGACTTTTTCAAGAGGCCTTGGAGGCGGTCCATGTCGACATCATGTTATCAGGGACATGGCCTGCTCCTGTTGACCTTTGAGTTGAGGTCAACAATGTTAAAGATGATATGCGTCCATCTCTATGAGCCCTTTCAAGTTTGACACGTCTTGTTCTTAGTCTACCACTTCGCTCGTCATAGTGGCCTCATGCTCCATCAGCCATGTATGTTTGGTCTACCGAGTCTGATTTATCCTTCTGGTCAATGGTTAATGGGGCACGATGTTGACGTAGTGATATGGGTTTCATTGTGTCGTCATAGCAGGAGAGTTTTCCGTTGACGTCCACCGAGGCGAGGCTTTGTGAGACGTTTCAGAAATTTCGTTCATGGCTCCATAGTGTTAGAATCTGTCATGGAA